CGCGTCGATAGAGTGTAATTGGCGCGAGGCATTGGATGGGAGTAACCAAGCATTTGGCGAAATTGGTTCGCAATCCGGAGGTCCTTAGAAATGTGCTAAGGATCGAAGCTCTTGGATAACCGCTGTCTCAAGGGGGTACGGGTGGTAGAAAATGACAACATTGTTCTCAAAGAGTGAGATGCTCGATGCGGCGTGCCAGGTGGTTAAGCGGCAAACAATGCCATCACTCCTCGCTGGTGGAATAACTTAAAATGTGAGCCAATTGGATGTGTCGATCCGACGTGAAGAGTTGGCAAATCCTTACACTTCTGACCACTAGGTTGCTCCTCTATTGCACTAGATTATGCCATGTGAAGTTTAGCCTTCGCGTAGCGAGCAGTCACATTCTAGACGCCTCTCATTCCTCCTAAGTATCTCCCTCATGAGTCCTAAGTCCTACCCCCCGCCTCAATGCCTCTCCTCTGCTCAGCCATAATCGGGGGCCTGCCAAAGTCGAGATCTATCTAGAAGATTCCAAACGAAAGATAAAAGGTATGAGAATAATGGTAAATGATGCATGCGAACTTAGCCTAGCTCAGGTGGTTAGGTTATTTGTGGTGGAACCAGTCCACCAGGGTTTAAGTACTAGACTTGACACTGGTGCTTACATTTTCCTGACTTATTTCAGCCTTTCCGACGATGTTCGTTCAGTGAGAGGAGACGTTCCCGTCGACTACAGAGGGCCAATGGCGACTTCGTCAATCTCAAGTTGATGTGCCAGATCAGTCTCTCCAAGTTGATCATAAGGATATGGTGTGCATGCATTCATAGTATATGAATGTCTGCGTTTGTACTATGTTAAAAAAAGGTAAATGATGCATGATTTTGACAACATTACATTTGGTCATATGCGCTACACATCTTCTACTAGAGTCTGTCTAAGAACAAAAATACAATATTTTGACCTAGGAAGCATGTACTACCTCCGTTCCAAAATAATTAAAGTTTTCAATTTATCCTAAACTTGTTCAAGTTTAACTAAATCCACAGAAACATATATTAACATTTAGAACACTAAAGTAGACTCCTGAGATTCGTGACACATCGGAGCTAAACATGACACATGAGGTAAGCAATCCAAACAATTTATAAAAAATAGACTCATAAGATTCTTTATGAAGTACATTTACCGGAAATGCTCTTTGGAGGCCGAGCTACCTGGTGGCCGGTATCACATCCGTTTGTCTTTATTGGGATCAGCCGCAGGCAGGTATTCCTCTCCTGTATTTCAGGTACGAGTCATTTACAAGGTACTGTATTCTTAATTAATGAACAGTAGTATCCCATGGAGACGAGTCTATCCAGCAGCGCTGGCACAAGTGCCATCACTATGCTTGGACCTAGAAAGCAGAACAAGGGATCCGGAGGCCCCATGCATCGACCTTAACCACTCTTTCAAGTGGTGAATAATCAAACGACAAACGGTTTTAAAGACACATGAATCCAAGCGCAGAGTGATAAACGCAATTACATAGGCAATTACTAGGACAAGTCACACACCAGTATATCGTGCACAAGATATGAAACACGGCTAACCAATCCTGCTCTAAAATCTACACTAGGCGGTCAAACTATCCTGGCTTTTTTGGCAGGCTTGTTCGTGACTTCTTCGTCTTCAGAGCATGCACCATCAGTTGCCGCAGCGCCGTCAAATATCGTCGAACATGTGCTCCGATTCATAACTTGCTGCATGGCTTGGTGGGATTAACGCCAACAAGGGGTCGAAGTGGCCGCAACCCTCTTCAAGATCATGACCCACAGCGACGCAATCCTGCGTGCAGATAAGAACAAATATTCAGATAATCAACCGATAAAGGAATTCAGAAAATATCCAATATGGCAGATTTTGTGAACGGGACCTCCTTCACTGACACCAAAAAAACTGGCCACGATGCTGTAAACTTTGCATGTGCTTACATTCTTTGTTCTTTTACCATGTCCCCGGTGTACATGTGTCGATGCGACTTTCAATGTAACTTCTCCATACAGTTAACAGAGAGTTCATGATCATTTCTGACCTATGCTCGCACCCGTACGAACCGTTATCATCCGATCTCAGTAGCCACATCATAGCAGTGCAGCCACACCGTTTTGATCTGCTATTGGACTGCAGTGGTTTACCCTGCAAATGATCTCGAACCAGACCGCATAAGCACATTGAAACACAGGCAAATAAAAAAAAGAATCTTGGGGCACAAGGACTTAATAACCAGTTTAGCTCTGACTCACCGCGCATGCATGCACTTTATCCCATGGACATTGAGTCGGCTCTTTGCATACCGGACACCAAAGTCAGTCTCCCAAAGAGTACAAGTTGTAAAACTCATATACTTCTTCGACGGAAGCGAAGCTAGCTGGATTAACAACAATACCTGCCTTGTTATCAGCATAAGAATGTATCGAAGCCTCAAGCGCAGGAGGCACTCTGCTGGGATTGTTCTCCCTCTCATCTGCATCCTAACTGATCCTAATTCTGCAAATTTTAACATGGACACCAATTAATTGTTGAATCACACATGGGATCCAGAACCAGAAAAATGAAGATATCTGATGCTTTGCATGTCATAATCACTTGTCAATTTCACATGAAGACTCGTTTACTCCATTATGTGCTACCATTATACAGAGTCACAAAATAATAGATTAGATCACAAGTAAACTTCCTTTCGTGTCCAGCAGGAGCCCTGTGATTTTGAGACGACCACTCCCTCTGCATCTCATCTTCTTTGGCCACTCATATTTTCAGGGGACATTGAATCGGCCACCACCTCGCTACCACAGATGTATGAATCGATAATCTCCTCTGTCATGATTGTCTCTTCTGGGTGCCGTCCTCCTCCGTTCTCTCCGGACTCCATTCCTCCACTGTTTGCATGGGAAGAAATCTAATCTCCATTGCGTGTGCGAGCCCCATGAATAGAAGCAACAACCAATTCCACTGCAGCTACTTCCCCTTGTAAGATAGACCCTGCATGCGACCTAGGAATGAAAGTGCAACCCAATCCAGACGAACACCGAGTTAGATCTAATTTTTAGGAGACGACTCAGATTTAAAAAAACCTACCAGAACAAACACCCCGCACACACCCAATCGATTCCCAATACCAGAATAGAACAAAAATTGCAAGATATGTCAGAAGATTACCCTGAATCGTCATCTTCGAAGAAGAACTCCATCCCATCCATGGGGCCCCGTCCCATGTCCAGTGCGCCAGGAAGAAGGTGATGACAGGTCTAACTCTAACGAGGTAAATGCAAATCGATCTGTAACATTAGCCCAGGAGGCACATCATGTCCCCGCATCACGCACCCATGGGGGAGGCCCATGTACAAAGGTAGCACCCCAGCCCATGGCACCGATGTATTCCAACTTCGTATAAGGACTGGAAAAATGAGCAGCACCCATCACAATGTAACAACCTTCGGCCCAGATAACGGGAGTCAGGTAGCTCGGCCTCTAAAACGCCCCACTCGTACATTTACATACTATACTATGTGTATTTGATTTTGTAGATGTTACTACATTTATCTGTATATAGTTGATCAAATTTAAACTAGTTTGACCAAAGGCAAACCTAAAACCTCAATTAGTCTGTAACCGAGGGAGTATCTTTTACTAATCTTCAATTAGAACAAGAAATCAGTGGTGGGCAGCACCACCACTCGCGGGCTCCGTGTACAGCGCGTATATGTTTGACGGCGAGACAGAGGGATCAGGGATGGGCAGCAGCGTTCGCGTCGTACGATGGGCGGCACGTGGCCGGCCGGCGGTGGAAGGGGTGCATGCACGCCGGCCGACTTTGCATCGCGTGCGCGCGAGCTGCATGCATCGTCGTCGCCTGCGCCTCGCGTCCAAACCGCACCAGTCACCACCACCAACAGGCAGGCAGCTCGCCCCCCCAAAAGCCACCCACCTCCCCGCGCCTGGTTGGGCAGCACGCCCTCGTGCTCCAGCCACTGCTGCCCCTGCCAAACCTGAGGCGGAGGAGAAAAGAAGAGCGGCCTCGTGGCACGGTGGCAGCATCCATCGACCAGGTCGATCGGTAACTTTAGGTGAAAATTACTATAGAACTAGTTAAGAGAAAGATGCGAATCGGCGTGAGGGGTCAAATTTTGATCTCAGTCCTACACACCACAAGGGTTGGCCAATTTTATGGGACGACTTCAGAATTCAGATGGCTATGTAATTTGCAGCATCTATCGTGAATTTGTGTTCCTGACGATGATCGTGTACTCGAGCTGGCCTGGGAAAAGAAAGGTGTACATACGGTCCCAAATAGATCGACTCTCACCAAGATTCGAAGCACTAAAAACTACTGCGCCACTTGGCCACGACGCAGAAAAAGTACAGCGACGCTGTACTTGAAACTAGTATATTACAGTTATTACTTGATGATTTTACTGCGCCGGGGGTGATAATGTGTCGTCGACGACCAGGGGCCAAGAAGAACCCGGCGTCGGCGTGCATGCGCATAGCTGGATCTGCAAGACATCAACACAAAAATGGGTAGTAGACTTTTTGCCCTTGCCCTAGCCTTGTGGAGTAGTAGTAGCTAGGCACACATATATTCAAATACAAACTTTCAAACAAAAGCTATTAACATACGGCGCTTACACACGGCTCAGTACAGAGTGAGATTAATTAGGTCTTGTGCTCTTGGATGCTTTGGGTTGATACACACTTACCAGGCACAACCAGGATCGTAGCATTAAACAAGTCCTGCTCCTCTGCCTGGGGGTTCGTTAAACAAGACTATCAGGGTGGTACGGTCAGAACAGATGTTCTCTAGGTATCCATCCTCAGCTAGCTTTGACTGCATATCTATCCCTAGACCCCATACTAGCCTAAAACACTGGCCATTGCTTTCCCTATAAATCTCAACAAACCCCAACCCTGTACCTTCTCTTCAAACTCCTATTGACACACAAACACATACACACGCAGAAAAAGATCGAACACCATGAGCTGCAGAAGAAGGATCAGCAGTGCAGTCCTTGTGGTTGTCTTGCTCTTCTCCCCATTATTGCTCACGCTCTACCTTCCCACTGCTTGCGCTCGCCATGGTGAGTTCCCTGCTACTGTCTCCACCGATCGACCTATCTCTATCTGTATTATTGTATATATTTCCCCTGTTTATTGGTTTTGAGATTTGCATCCACCCCTTGTTAAATCGTGGCACTACTATCTCTGCAGTGGCGGTGCTCGGCGCAAGAGATGGCCTGAATCTCGGAGGCGGCCGGCAGCTTGTGGTTGGTGATGATGCAGGAAAGGCCGTCCCTGTCGGCGGCTCACGGCCAGTTAGGACGGTGGAGATGCGCGCGGCGAGGAGGCACCGGCGGGACGCGGCCGACGAGATGCACGACATGCTGAGGAAGGACTACGCGTATAGGGCGAGGGGCAAGAAGCCCATCCACAACGACGAGCCACTCGACGATGAACCCTAAATCAGACCCGTAGCTAGGTACATAGTTATAGAAACTTAGCTAGCTAGAGCCGCTCTGTGATTTACTACCACTGCTAGTTAGCTAGATTTGCAGGCTTTGCCGGATACATACATATAGCTTAGGTACCCAAATATTATGGAACAATAATGCCTGGGTTGGCTAGGTAGTTTATTATTAGCTGGTCAACCTTAATCTAGCATCCAAGCTGGCCATCACGTTTAGTCCTGATTTGCAAGAACAACTGGTAGGAGTAGTTCATGCGAAGAAGGGGCAGTTTTGTGCCTGATGTGCACGCTTGGGGGCTATGCTAACCTTGTACTATATGTATGTCAGTGTTACATTTGGCAATTTACATGTGTCCTGGTCCTGGCTGCGTGGATTTTAGCAACAAAGTGTGTGTCAACATCCTCAGCTTATTTTGCTGCTTGTTGACATACGGGTCATTGGAAAAAGAACCACTTTCTCGTGAATTTAATAGCTTTCGCTCTTGTTCTGTTTTCTCCTTCTGATAGAATGGGCAATGCTCACATCATGGTTCATGTATGTATAAGAAGATGCTCGCCTACCGCGTGAAGCTAATTTCTTTTGGGCAAACTAAGCCCTCGAGGTGGGCTAGATTTTACTAACTTAATATCCCAAACAGTTAACAGTGTACCGATAAAAGTTTTCCCAAAGGAAAAGGAATGGCTTCATAGGCCATTCTGAGATTACATCTGGAGGTTTTACTGCACAAGAAAGAGCAACAAGAGGAAGATCTACACAAGGAAACCTTTTTGGCCAGAGAATGGGCAATAAGATTCTTGATCCTAGGAATATGGGTGGTCAATCGAGAAGTTTTTGGGAAGACACCTGGTTGGGTGACACTATTAACTCTACGATACCAGATTATATATTATCGTATTTATAAAAGAGGTCGGTGGCTTCTGTTCTTGAGGCTAGCCATTTGAACATCCAATTCCGCATGTCTTTGTTGGGTGACAAATGGACTAAGTGGATCCATTCGGTTTCTAAGTTGATATCAATTAATCTGACTCTGATGCCAGATTCATTCCAGTGAAGGTTAACCACTAATGGTGCATTTACTGTGAAGTCTATCTATGCGGATCTGATGGATTCCAGACATATTTTTCGCAAAAACATATTTGGAAAACAAACGTTCCTTCCCAGATCAAAGTTTTCATGTGGTTTTGCCAAAGGGAAGTAGTTCTTACGAAAGGTAATCTGGCTAAGCATAACTGGTATGGTAACAAAAAAATGATGTTTTTGTAATCGGGAGGAGACAATTTATCATTTATTTCTGCTGTGTCAATTTAGTACCTGTTCTTGTGCTCGATTCATATTACTTACAATTTAGCACCACCAACGAGTATTCCAAATTTGTTTGGGAACTAGTTGGGTGGTATTCATCATAAGTTGAAGTGCCAAATTCATGTGGGAGTTTGTGCCATTCTCTCGGCAATATGTAATTGCCGAAATGACTGTGTTTTTAACCGATCATCAACTCCTAATTTCTTGTAGGTTATCTACCGAGCTGTGGTCATCACTACATCATGTGGACGCGCAGGCGCTTATGGCCTTTGGTGCAGCCGGCTGGAAATGGTTGCTCTGGGTTTATTCGACCAGTTTGGTCGGCGAGTCACTCATAGATTATGTAGATGAGCTATGTAATCTCGAGTATGACCGGTTATGGCCATGTTTTCTTTTTATTTGACTTTGTTTCATGTCTAATAAGATGGTCGTGTGCATCTTATGACGCAGAGGCCGGGGTACTCCTTTTTTCGGGGGGAAATTGTAAGAGTTGAGGCTAGAAGCAATATTGAAGAAATCTACAAGTATAGGTTTCATCCTCCAATGCCCCGAACTTTTGAGGAAATTCCTTGCTTCGACGGCAACAACCAATGTCCTGCAATTAGAAAGGAAAGTAATCGAGTTCCATCCCAAGGCCTTAACTGTTGAAGCATCTAGGAGTAAACCCATAGCTTCTGCCTGCAAAATAGAAAAAACATTCAAGGCCATCGCTTGAATGGAATTTAGTGGTTGTTGTCTTCGTTTGTAGGAACACTCCAAAGGAAGTGTTTTTTCTTGCCACTGGAGGATTATAGGTCACATCAACATAAGCCAAGAAACCTATAAGTTGTATAGACATATTTTTTGCATGGTAACTTATTTTTTTGGATGAGACACTATTGAGGTCTTGGTATATATCTTCTTCAGAATTCTCCATTAAACCTCTATTTAGCATGGCTCTCGTGGCATAAAACCTGCAAAGGGGTCCAAGTTTTCTTTTTGAAAAGAAAATCATTTCTAGCCTTCCAAATATTCCAAAGGAGAGTGAAAATTGAGGCTATGTTT